TAATTCTTACCACCTGGCCCAGCAAGTCCTGATAGGCATCTGTCACCCAGGTAGGTGACCAGAGCATCTGTACCCATCCCTACTCCAATATGCCTTCGTTCTTTCCGTGCACCATTGCAACTCATTTCCCTATTAGATCCATATTAGCTAAGTGGCTATACTTGTGATCCTATAGTTTAATTGTAGTTCGACCCATGTGGTGACCGTGTTGTAATCTTGCTCACTTCAGCAACCGCACACACCATGACAGAGCTGAAACACACCAATGAAGAAAGCGTTCTTAGGAAAACCCAAGGACAACAAAGCGAAGGAAAGACAGAGAGGGGCTAGGAGCACTATAATGCTGGCACCTGCAGCTATAGGGAACATTTAATATAGCCAGGATCCCAGACAGATAAACATAAACCCCACACAAAAGACCTATTGCTCTCTACTCCCTGATATAACATATCTGGCTTTCAATGAAAAATAACAAGACATGCTAAAAAGGAAGAAAAAGCCATCTGAAGAGACAAGCATTAGAAACGTACTCATATATAACAGAAAATTTGGAATTATTAGATAAAGATTTTAAATAATTATGACCAACATATTAAGACTTACAATGTCTATTATTAAGAAAATGTTCAAAGAATTGTAATGGGAACAGTAAGTAATAATAGATAAGTAATTTGAGAAGATGTAAATTATGAAATAAATCAAAAGAAAGTGCTAGAACTCAAATACACAGAAGCACCAATGTTGTCTTTGATAGGTCCATCAGTAGACTGAACATAGCTGAGGAAGAATCAGTAAGACTGAAGACATGGTAACAGAAACACCCCAAGCTGAAATGCAAAGAGAAAAAAAAGAATAAAACAATTCCAAAAGATAATGATAATACAAAAGAAAAAGTAACGTAAAGGAACAGAAGAAATGTGAACAATCATGGCAGCAGATGTTCCAGAATTGACACACAGCAAGCTACAGGGAGCTCATAGAACATCAAGCAGTATAAAAATGTAAAGCTCTACATCAAGGCATAGCATATTCCAACTGGGGAAAACCAAAGGCAAAGAGAAAAATCTGAAAAGAAGCTTGGAGGGAAGGAGTTGGATAAGGTGGGGACATCTTACCCAAAGAGGAATTAAGATGACAGCACATGGAGAGTCTTAGGAATGAATGATGGAAACATGGAAGCTAAGGGAGCTACCTAAGTGATTATGTTCAAAGGTCTCGGAACGTGAATAGCTGATGGTGTAAGTTTTAACTTGAGTATGAAGGTAAAAGAAAACCAACATTCCAGCATGCAGATGGGAACAGAGAAAAATCTCATACTCCAACTGCATGCTCTTTTCAGTCCTTCAGTAGGTTGGATGAGCCCCCACACTGATGTTACCCTCATCCAGAAATACCCTCTCAGACACCCAAGCAATGGTCAACCAAATACCTGAGCACCACATGGCCTGGCAACAGTAATGTATAAAATAAACTATAACAGATTTCTCATCAGTGACCATGCCACCAACAGTAGAGCAAAATAAAAGAACTCAAAAAAATAGCTGGGTATGGTTGTACATGCCTGAAATCCCAGCTATTGAAGTGGCTGAGGCAAGAGGACTGTCAGTTCAAGTCCATCCTGGACAATTTAGCAATATCCTTTCTCAAAATACAAAACGAAAAGGTGCTAGGGATGTAGCTCAGTGTAGTCTTTGGGTTTGATTTCTAGTACACTAAAATAAAGAGGTAAAGTGTTGAAAGAAAAAAAATACCTCGCAAATCCAACTGGAATCTAACAAAATTATCTTTTAGAAATAAAGATGCAATAAATAAATAAATAAATAAATAAATAAATAAATATGCAATAAAGACTCAGAAAAAAACAAAAATAGGGAGTTTATGATCAGGAGACCTTACCTGTAAAAAAATGGTAAAAGAAAATCTTCAGAGAGATAGAAAATGATACAGCTCTGAAATTTATAGTTACAAAATAAGGGGAAAGTATTCAGGAAGAAATAATTGAGGTTAATTAAAATCTTTGGTTTTCTTATTCTTTTTTTTTTTTTTTTTTTTGTGGAACCAAGGATTGAACTCAGGCCATTGCGCTTGCCAGGGAAGCACTTATTCCACTGAGCCATCTCACTGTCCCCAGTTTTCTTATTCTTATTTGACATGATAGATGACTTTTTCAAAATATGAATCATAACAACGTAGCATATAGATGCTATTTTGCACTACAGCAAAATAATATAGACAACTGAGAAGAATCAAGAATGTATGCATACTGGCATATTTGAAAGTGGACTTAGATTAATTGTAAATATGTAAATTCTAAATAACTATTAAATATTTTAGAAGTATAATTGCTATGCTAATACAGGAGAGAAAATGAAGTCATAAGATGCTTAATACAAACTAAAAGAGATGGAAAAGGAAGGAAAATTTTTAAAAGGAGATAAAGAGTAAGTGCAACTGTGGTAGACAGATGTTAATCTAACAATATAGTCAAGATGGAGGGGAAGGAGGAGAGAGATGAAAAGAGAATGAAGCTGTCTTATGCGCATGTACCAACCCACTATGAGTATAAACACATACTGCAAACATTTAATCATAAAAGAGATAAATCACTTTAAATATGAAAGTTCTAAACACAAAAATTTAAAAAACAAGATTGTTACAATAGAAAAAACTGTATGTTGCCCATAAAAATCTTATGTTCAGTATGCAAACAGAAGAAAGTAAATTGTAGGAGAAAGCAGTAGTATGGTAATGCTAATAAAAATAAAAAAACTGTAGTGATGGTATTTTAGACAAAACTGACTTCAGACTGGAGAAAGTTAACAGGGATAGAGAGTGGTCTTAAGACCCAGCTGCAAGTGTCAAACGGTGTGAGGCAAAAAAATGACAGAACTGCAAGGAGAAACAAACAAATTCACTGCTGCCGTTAAGAATTCAACATCCCCCTCTCGCTGATGGTAGATTCAACAAGTAGATAATTAGGAAGGACATGGCTGAACTGAATAACTCCACAGATCAACCAAGTCTAACTGATATTGATGCACTATTTCATCCAACAAAAGTAAAACACACATTCTTCTCAAACTCACAGGAAGCATTCACCAAGACAGATCACTGGACCATTAAACAAACCTCAGAGAATTAAGAAAGTAAAAATCCTACAAAGTTGGTTCTCAACACAATGGAATTAAATTAGAAATCAACAACAGAAATATAGCTTGAAAATATCTAAAGATTAAACAATGTGCTTTTGAATAACAGTGTGCGAAAGGTCAAAAGAAATTTTAACTATTTTGAATGAAATGCAAATTAAATACAAAATTTTGATGAAAGTCCAAAATTGCTGGAATGAAGTGAAAGAACTGTTTTGGAAGGAAATTTATAACACTGAATGAATGTATTAGAAAAGAAGAAAGATCTGAACCCAACAATGTAAGTTTCTACCATCAGGAACTAAAAAGAGACATTAAGTACAAGGTAAGATCTTACAAATGAAGATGAAATGTCTACAAACTAAGTGATTCAAAGTTGTTAAGAGAGTAATTCTCCCTAAATTGATCTACAGCAGCAACATAGATGTCAACAAGTTGATTTTTAAATTTATATAGAAGTAAAAAATAATAAAAAAAAATAAAAAACTAGGAGAGACAAAAAACTGTAAAAGAAGGTTTGTGCTACCAAATTTCAAATTATACTAAAGCTACAGAAATCAATGCAAAGTTGTATCAGAACAGGGATGAGTGTATTGAAGAGAACTGAGAATCTAGACATAAAATCCTACATTTTGGTCACCTAATTTTCAACAAAGGTAAAAAGGCAATTCAATGTGGAAAAGATAGTCTTTCCAACAAAAAAAGCAGGGAGAGTGGTTATGCACAGCCAGATGAAGTGAACTTATGTCCTTCTCACATGCCTCAGATAAAAGTTAACTCAAAATGGGTCATAGTCTTAAATGTAAAAGTCAACATTAGCAAATATTCAGAAGACAGCAAAGGAGAAAAATCTTTGAAAAACCTTGTATAAATTTTTGACCTCAAAAGAACCATACAAGAAGAAATTGATAGATTGCACTTAATTAGAGTTTAGTATCTTTATGCTTTGAGAAAGAAACAGAGTTTTAAAAAAAAACCAACCACAGACTAGGACAAAATATTTACAGAACATGTACCATATGATGGATTTGTATCCATATGATAAGAACTTTTACAACTCAATGAGACAAAGAAGCTACTTATGAAGTTGATCAATTACTTGAACAAATATTTTACCTAAGATAACATATGAATAGTTACTAAGGATGTAAAAAAGGTGCTCAGCATCATTAGTCATCAGGAGTACAAATTAAAACTACAATGTGATTCCACTGCTGACTCACTAGGGAACTCTATTTAAAAAGACATAACACCAAGGACTGGTGATGATATGGAGAAACTAGAACACTGGGCACATCATGGCAGAAACAACAATGACACAGCTACTCTGGAAAACTATTTGGTTCTTTATTTTAATCAAATATAAACTTACCTAAGACCATGAAATTTCATTATGAGGAATCTATCCTCATTATAAGTAATGGAAAGATTGCTCCCATACAATAACTTGTAAGTGAATGTTCACAGTAGCATTGCTCAGAATAGCCAAAAACTAGAAATAAGGGGCCACGGAGATGGCTCAGTGGAATAAGCGCTTCCCTGGCAAGCGCAAGGGCCTGAGTTCAATCCCCGGTTCCACAAAAAACCAAAAATAAACAAACAAAAAACCCCTAGAAATAATCCAAATATCTACCAAATGATAATGTATAGACCTAATGCAGTATTCCCACTTCTATATAATACTGTTCATCAATAAGAAGGATCATGGGGCCGGGGAGATGGCTCAGAGGAATAAACGTTTTCCTAGCAAGCGCAAGGGCCTGAGTTCAATCCCCAGTTCCACCAAAAAAAAAAAAAAAGAAAGAAAGAAAGAAAAAGAAGGATCAAATCCTGGAACAGGTTCAAGCCTGGATGAGCCCCAAACTATGGCAGATGCAAGACTTCTGGGAAGATGCAGCAACAGTGGATAGCACAGAAACAGACTCTGAGATCTGGTGTTCAGATGCTGCAATATTACAATGTGAGGAAGAGAAGAAGGAGGGAAGTAGGTTCCCAGGACCCAGAAAATATCTGAAGTGAGAACTGAAGCCCACATGGAGAGTGAAGAGAAAGACCTCAGTGAAAAAGAAGGAAGGAGCAAGAGTGCTTTCTCACTGAGCCCTGACTCACTATGTGGGAGGAGCAACTTGAACCTGCAGATGCACAGTGACCATTGGTGACCCCAGAGGCTTCCACAGAGAAAACCATCAAATGGAACAGAACAGTGGACACAGCAGACTGCAGTGACAGGTGAGTTATTTGGGTTCAGACACCTCTCCAGGTGAGGGTGACTGGATAGCCATCTTGGAGAGGGGTCAACTAACCTTGGAACTCAGAGCAGCTGCAGACTGGCTCCATCTATTGTCAAGGTAAGGCATAGCCAAGCTCAAGCCAGCAGGATGTGAGCAGATTCCAGCCTCACAGCCAGAAATGACACAGGCTTCCTGGGATTATCCACTACCCCACCACAAATCTATGCCTGGCTTGCTGGGCTTGATCAACACAGGTTTGGGCTCTGTCAGCCTACTCCCTCTACCAGTGACAGCAGAAACACACCCTGAAGCAGACATTGTTTTCTTTTTATTTTTTCTCATGATTATTTGTTCTTATTTTATTTTATATGAGTGTGAACATTATTTCTACCTTTATGTTAGTGTTGTTCTAGTCTATTGTTTTTATTTCTTAATCTTCTCTTTCCCTAGTGTCTTTTTCATGCTTCTAAATTTTGTATAATCTTCCTTGCTTCTAATCTCTTCCTCTTCTGTTTCTCTGTTATTTCCCCTAACTGTTTTAAATCTAATCCCCCAAGGATAAAAGTCACCATACTGAGGGCATATTTAGTGTATACAACTTTAAGATTTGCTTTAGATTTTGTAAGATAGCCATAAGTATAGTTGACATGGTGACAAATTATGAGTTACCACACTAGTTACCTAGTCATTTTCTATGCTGTGTTTTGTGCTGTTTTTATTGCAGATTGTACTACTTTAGTGAAGGTGACATAATTTTTCTAATCAGTTGTTCTTCTGGGTATGCCAAAACTGAAATTGCTAAGAGTCATAAACGATGTTATAGGCCAGTTCCAAAGAACCAGGGACTAGGCCAAATAGGCAACAACTTCTCATCTCCAATAAGTTGAAAAGGTAGGATGTTGCAACAGATTCAAAACCTAAAAGCCAGCTATATCTGGGACATATGCCTAAGAAGTTGCCATTTCCTAAGAACTCTAAATGTTAGCAATAAAGCTACCTGCATTAAGAAATTTATAAGCATCAACACAGGAATTAAACTTAAAGAATAGAAAATAAGAAGACACAAAAGCAAGATGCAACCCAACCATAGACTTGCTACAGGGGACAATAAGGTGAAACAACCTGAAAGTCACCCACCCAGTCTCTGAAATGGTAACAGCAGAAATAACAAAGGAGGTAAATGAGACTCTAGCAAAGAATCAAACCAGAAGAATTTCTCACATAATTACAGAGATGGAGACCACAAGGAAAGGTATGCTGTGACTCTATAACAGGTACAGATGAAACACTGGAGGAGCTTAGAAAATTGATGGAAACCATGAACACCCAACATAGAAAAGAAATGGAATCCATGAAACAGATTCAAACAGCTATTCAGGAGATTAAAAATTAGATTGAAAGTATATCCAGCAGAATGAGCCAATGAGAGAAGAGGATAGCAGGTCTAGAAGCAAGGATTGTAGTTAGCAATCAAGAAAAGGAAGTTTTCTTAAAAATATCAAGGATCACAAAAAAATTAATCTAACAGTTGCTAAATGATGCAGAAAAGAATATGATAAAGTTGATCAGAGTCAATGAGAAGGCAGGAACTAGCAAAAGCAACATAAACAGAAACCCTGTTCACAGAAGTAATGGTGGAAAACTTCCCAAACATGGAAAAACAATTTAACATATGGATAAGTGAGACATGTCAAACTTCAATTATCCACTAACAAAAAACTCTACACTAAGGCTTATAATAGACAAAATTCCATAAATTTAACATAAGAACATTAAAAGCCATTAGAGAAAATAAACAAATCATATGTAAAGGAAAGCCCATCAGAATCATAGCAGACTTCTTTAAACAAATCCATCAGAAAAGAAAGCTTGAAGTGAATTATTTCAAGCTTTAAAAGAAAATAAACTCTAGGGCCCAGGGAAATAGCTCAGTGACATAAATGCCTGCCTGGCAAATGTAAGGCCCTGAGTTGCATCCCTAGTATCTAAAAAAAAGAAAAGAAACTCCAACCTCATTGATGCACACTGAAAAACTATCTTTCCAAATTTCTAGAAAATAAAAAACTGCCACGACAAAAGCATCTGAAGAAATTCATGAACATCAACCTAGCACTCCAGAATGTTCTGAAGGACATTGTGGAAAGAGATAACAAGGATTGCAGCTACATAAACCCCAACAAAATGCATCCCCCAAGTAAGGCAAGTAATTAATGGAGCAGGGAACCTAATAATATTAATATAAATATAACATGACAAGGATAAGTAAATATATATCAGTTATAACCATCAATGTAAATGGTTTCAATTCACCAATCAAAAGAAACAAACAAGCAGAATGGATCAAGAAACAAGATCTAAAAATTTTCTGCATACAAGAAATACGTCTTGGGGGCTGGGGAAATGGCTCAGTAGGATAAGTGCTTGACTGGCAAATGCAAGGATCTGAATTTAATCCCTGGTTCCACAAAAAAAAAAAGGAATTTCATAGACTGAAAATCAAAGGATAGGAAACAATACTCCGTGCAACAGGAACTTGGAAAAAAGCAGGGGTTTCTGTTCTATGTGTAGACAAAAATCAAAGACCCCAAGTCAAGACTGATTGAAAGAGACAAAGACTACTGCATCCTTATAAAAGGAACAATCCAAGAAGAAGAGATTATCACAAATATATATATATATATATATATATATATATATACCAAATACTAGTGCCCCAAGCTATCTAAAGCAAACATTAATGGACATAAAAATCAAATAAGCACTACTAATACAGTTGCAATGGGGGACCTTAATACCATGTTTTCACAAATATACAAATCAATTAAGCAAGAAATCAACAGTGAAATATCAGAACTAAAACAAACCTGTGAACCAACGGAATTAGTACATGTCTACGAGTGTCCCATCCCTTAACATCAGAATATACATTCTTCACAGCTGCACATAGGACAATCTCCAAAATAGATCACATGCTAGCTCACAGAACATGCTTAAGTAAATGCAGAAAACCTGAAATTATTCCATGCATATCACCTGACCATAGGGCAACGGCACTAAAAATCTATAGCAAAAGAAACCGCAAGAACTTCATAAACAAATGGAAATTAAATTATATCCTCCCGAAAAACCAATGGGTCACAAATGAAATTAAAGAAGAAATTAGAAAGTTTCTACAAAATTAAATAATAATACCAAAAGAATATATTGAAACATAAGGGACACAACAAAAGCAGCCCTACAAATGAAATTTACAGTGTGAGTACCCTGCCAGGAAAACAAAATAAGCTAATGTTGAACCTCAAACTTCTAGAAAAAGAACAAGTCAAGAACAAAGCTTATAAAGGGCTGGCCAAATAGCTCAGTGGATTGAAGCACTTGCAAGCAGATGCAAGGGCCAGGGATTTGATCCCTGGGCCTGCTATGCAGGGTCCCACCCTGGGGTATGCTGAGAGGGCAATCGAGACTGGGCGTGGTGGTGCGCACCTGTAATCGCAGCACTTGGGAGGCTGTAAACAGGAGAATCACTATGAGTTCAATCTAGTAGTGAGACCCTGAACACCCTGTAGACCCTTCCCTAAAATACAAAAAAAAAGAGAAATTATAAAGATTAGAGTAGAAATTAATGCAATTGAGACTAAGAAAACAATAGAAAGGATCAATGGATCAAAGAGTTGTCTGTGAATGATTAAATAAAATTGACAGAACCATATTTAACCTTATCAAAAAAAAAAAAGAAAGAAAAACTGAAATCTATACAGTTAAGAACGACAGTGGTAAAATAATAAATTCAGTGGGAATCCAGATGATCATCAATACCTACTTTGAGAACCTTTATCATAATAAGATAGAAAAGACAGAAGAAATAGAGATTGCTACATACAGATGAATCACCACAGCTGAATCAAGAAGATATAAGAATTCTAAATAAACCAATAGTAGCCAGTAAAATTGAAAATGCATTTTAAAATCTACCAACAAATCTTGATGGATTCAATCCTGAATTTAAAAATAAATATAGGGGGGTCAGGGAGATGGCTCAGTAAAATAAGCGCTTCCCTGGCAAGTGCAAGGGCCTGAGTTCAATCCCTGGTTCCACCAAAATAAATAAATAAATAAATAGATGACCTAATACTACTGCTTTTCAAACTCTAATAAAATTGAAAGAGAAGTAATATTTCTGAATTCATTCTAGGAAGCAAGCATTATCAAAACCAGAAAAGAATCCAATCAAGAAAAAGAACTATAGGCCAATCTTCCTACTTAATACAGACACTGAAATCCTCCATTAGCTATTCGCAAACAAAATGCAGCAAATCAGAAAGCATATTATGCTCCATGATCAAGTGCAATTCATCCCAGAGCTTCAGGGATGGCTCAACATACACAAATAAATAAATGTAACATACCGTATTAACAGAGCAAGTAAAAAAAAAAATCATATGATTATTTAAATAGATGCAGAAAATCATTTGACAAAGTCCAACATCCACTTAAGATAAAACACTATACAAAATTGAAATAGATTTTTCTATCTCAGTGTGATAAAAGCTATGACAAACCAACAGCCAAAATCATATTAAACAATCAGAAACTGAAAGATTTTACTCTAAAATCAGGGAAAACAAGAATGTCTATTATATCCACTCATATTCAGTATGGTTCTCAAAAAAGTAGAGCAATTGTTGAAGAAAAATAAAAAGAATAAGGATAGAAAAAGAAGACATTCAATTATTATTTGTGGATTACAAGATATTCTACTAGAAGATTCCAAAATTACCACCAAAATACTTCCTAAATTTAATAACACAATTTACTAGAATATATCTATTTATTTATTTTTTGCAGAACTGGGGATTGAACTCAGGCCCTTGCGCTTGCCAGGGAAGAGCTTATTCCACTGAGCCATCTATCTGTCCCCCCCAATTTACTAGAATATCTGAATACAAACTCAACACTCAAAAATGTTGGCATGCCCATTGGCTCAGTCATTTAAGTGCCTGCTTCAACAAAGCAGTCAGACTCAGGATGCTGTGGTTCAAGCCCCATATCCTCAAGCCTTGCTAGACCTGCCCTGAAGGCATCCTGAGCCAGCTCCACCCCCAAAAACATCTCCATTAGCTCAGTTGTTTGAGTGATTCCTTAAACAACGCAATCAGGATGCTGTGGTTCGATCCCCAGATCCTCAAGCCTTACCAGACCTGCCCTGAAGGCATCCTGAGCCAGCCAAAAAAGAAAAAAAAATCCATCTCAATTTACGAGATTATAGGACCACAGAGCAATGTGATCAATGATGCAGAGTGTGCCTAAGGAGAGTCATATGGAGAGAAAACATTCTCTCAGGCTTTCATAAAGAGCAAAGTGGTCAAGCAATGGCCTTGACTCATCCACATGGCTGACACTGATCAAGGATCTGCAAACTGAGGTACGGGGTTACAAGATAAATCCTGAGGGTACTTGACTGACTTTATCAGATACAAAAGTTACATTTCTTGTTATATACGTCTTGCTTTATTTTGGTCTTAACAATCCAGGAGAAAATTAGGTATAAAAAGTAAAGCCATATTAATATGCTGAGCTATAAAAAGCTCAAGTCAACAACTTCTGACATTGCCAGTCCTATGGATAACCCACTACTATTATGGACTACTGGACTATATTGGATTATTTTGCTGAATTCACACACCTACAATATTTACATG